AGACTTGGGCACTGGAACACTGATTTAATTGGAGCCCAAGATCCAGCTGAGTGCTGTCTTTAGTTTATGTAGTTAGATTATATGATGAGAACAGATTTGAAAGTGATTACTAGATTAAAGATTATCAGTTTGAGTTGTTAGACAGTAGGTGATTGCCCCAAGTTAAATTATCCCTCCAAAAGGACACTCACAGGTTAATCATTATAGCAGTGATGTGTAAAATGGATCACCAGGGGAACTGACTTGGGAACAAGGGAAAAGACAGAAGAGTATTGCTGGAAACAAACAAAAAAAAGCCCTTTTGACAGCTTAGCTGCCTGGTTTCCATGGCACCCAGGACCGCCTTTACTAGAAACCATTCTATTAGATTGAATTTGTCCCTGTTCACTGGAGGGTGGGGAGTGTAAAGAGCTGAGAATTCAGTGCCTCACACCTCCTTCCCTTGCATCTCATAATCACAAAGGACTAGGCTAGCAGCAAGGTGGGTGGTATAATCTGATCTGCCATATTGAATGAAGACTTCTCTGGAATCTGGGGAAATTGGAGTATACCCAGGATAATGTAATGTGTCCTGTGGTCTGGGAATAAATTCCCTCTGCTTTATGTTCTGAAGTGAATATAGAAGGAAAGTATGTCCCCCTCATAAAACAAGAAATAGCTATATTGAGTGGTGTTAGCACTGGAGAAACCCTGGAGTTTGCATTCTGAAAGCTTGGATGAAAATAAACCAAATGTGTCCATCTCTGAGCTGATACATAGTGCTGTGGGATGCACCTCCCTCCCTCACCCCATGTGATCATACTTGGTGGTGGATATAATACAACTTTAGTATAATCAGGACATATTGGCAGTCCTGTTCAAGCAGAGCCATCGTGGGCTCTGCCCTGCAAGGCACTTGTTCTGTGGCAGAATGTAAACTGGGGCTAACTGGAACAGAGGAGAAGCAGTTGACAAGATTTCCCTGAGCCTCTGGGCAGGGAATTGTATGAGATCCTGTATCTTGTCTTTATGGTTAAGGTAACTAGATCATTTATTGCCTGAGCCAAGACATTTAGTGGAGGGGGTGTTGCTGGTAATGGCAACAGGTGTAAGCTTAGAGTATCTTGGGCCAATAAGTATGGCCTTTCCATTGATATTGGGATTCTGGCATTAAGATTTTGGTTTGCTTTTATATCCTTATTTGAAATCTTCTTTAAGAACTTATTTAAGCTCCTGAAAAGTAGAGGTAAGTATGTAAACTGATAAATCGTTTCCATGAATATTGCTGTAGAAACTTACATCAAGCCAGTAGGGACCCAGGGCTTCCCAGGTGTCTAGAGTGTGGACAGTTCCACTGCCTGGCTTTGAGACACAGCATTTCTTACCCAGTGACCTCAAGAAAGTGAATGAGCCTTGCTGGGCCCTCACCTTCATCTTTAAAGGGGTGGAGATGGTGTCATCTGCCTTCATAGACTATTATCATACACTACTTTCTCTAGTCCTTGTGCTGAGACTGGAAGAGACCTAGGTGATAACAGTTGATATCGACAGCCATGAATGTCTGGGGGGGGGTGTGGTAGCACAGGGTTCTAGACACTGGCAGAGCTGGAGAGGAAATGTTTTGATGCTAGTTTTCCTTATCAGCCTAGAAGATCTGTTCTTGGAGGTACTATTCTACACTAGAGCCTATGCTTGAAACATTCGCAAGTGTTTTAATGATATTGTAATACAGATAATGAAACTGAAAGAATCACACTTAAAGGAGTGAGGATATGGCATATGATAGAACAGGAGCAGAGGTTACATTACCAGCTCTGCTGCTTCTCTGGGTTCTGTTACTACTGGAAAACAGTGTTTAGAGAATTTTTACACAAAAGTATACCTATACTTGATGACTTTGAATAATTGGTTCTTGTTGCAGCTGATAGTTCTTAAAGATAATATTCAGTTGGGAGATAAAAATAATAAGATACACTTGTATTTATGATTCATGAGGGTGAAATAACTGGCATCTTCCTGCCTTGGTTCTACCCCACATTCTGTAGAAAACCTGATGAAAATGAAACTCCTACATTTGCATTCAAACTGAGCTAGTTCTGGGGTTAAGACTGATAATAGTAGGGAGAAATGATGAAAGGGCAAATTCTTTTAAAAGTAATCTGTTGCCAGGTGCTGTAGTCTCAGCTTCTTGGGAGGCCGACAAAATATCTCGATTCTAGGAATTCCAGACTAGCCTGGACAATGTAATCAGATTCTATCCCCCTAAAAAGAAAAAAGGTGATGCAGAGAAAATTTGTTTACTTGTTACTCCTTTTAGGAGTAAAATTACACTCAATATATTGCTAAATTGCAACACAGATAGCAGGTGGTATTTGATCAGTAGATGAGATGGGGACATCTTCTGAAAAATGCAATATTAGGCCATTTGCCATTGTGTGGACATCATAGAGTACACTTTACTTGCATAGTCTACTGCAGCCTAGGCTGTACAGTGTATGTGTGTGTCTCTAGTATAGACTTGTTCCTAGGGCTGGGAACAAAACAACCGAAGAGAAAAATGATTCAAGAGACAGTGTTATTTTTTTCATTCTCTCTTTCTTATATGTGGGAGGAGTAGTACTGGAATTTGAATTCAGGCCCTGGAACATGCTGGGCAAATGTGTGCTCTCTGAGCTACACCCTCCCCATTTTAAAATAAATAGAAGGAGTATACTGTAAAATTTCAAAAAACATACTATAGTGTAAGTATAGAAACCTGTAACTGTTGTCATCTTCATTGGTGATTATATGACTATATGTGTTGTATATCTTTATACAACTGGGTTGGAAGTACAGTCATATAAAACCAGCATCACCACAAAGTGTGTTGTGGTACTCTGTTAAGATGGCTACAACTATAGCATCACAAAGGGATTGGAATTTTCTAGCTCAGTTGTAATCTTAACAGCACCACCATGATATATTTGGTCCCTCACTGACCAAAGCATTGTTAACTTGGTACATGACTGTATAGCACTGTGGTTTCATTGCCCAGCTAGGGATAATGATGAGCTTAGTTTAAAAACAGGACTGTTTTTAGTTTGTATAAAGTACTTTGGCTTGGCCTAATTTTGAGGTGAAAGCATACACCTTAAATGAATTTTTGAGTAAGAATGTGAGCTGTCGCTGGACCTTTCATTCCTAGGTACTTGGGAGGCTAAGGCAGGAGGGTTGTAAATTCAAAGCCGGCCCAGGCAACTTGGACCCTATCTCAAAAAATTAAAAGGGCTGGGGATATGGCTCAGTTATAGAGCACTTTCCTAGTATGCATGAGGTCCTGGGTTCAATCCCCACTTCTGAGGAGAAAATGTTCTATTTTAGTAATTGAAATAATTCAATGACAAGACAGTGAGTAATGGTCAATTTTAAAATGGAATTTAAATTCACCTTTAATTTTTTTAAAAAAATCAGTTTAAATGCACATGGTACAAAAATAAAATTTGCATAGGAAAATAAATAGAAAACTTAGTCTTTTCCACTCTTAGCATCTTTCACAACCCCTATTCTTTGTTTTTGGTATATGCTTCTAAAGTATTTTGTACATGAATATGCAAATTAGTATTAAGTTGTTGCCAGTATTGCCACCACCAATAATGTTGCTGTGAATGTCTCAGGTGTCATGCCAGGTGTCTTTTTAGATCTGAAAGAGTATATATGTAAGGAAACTTATGGGTGTGATATTGCATAAGGCCAGTTTACATTCTTGCCATCAGCAAATGAGAATGCCTGCTTCCCAGCCCCCTACCAGCACCATGTGTTACCAGATCTTTAAATATTTGCCAATTTGATGGAGGGAAATCGCACCCCAATGTAATTTTAATTTTTTTTCTTATTAGAAGGGACTTTGATGCTATTTTCTTATGTTTGAGGACATTTGTATTTCACTTTCTGTAAGTTATCCTGTTTGTGTGTTTTGCCATTTTTTACCTATTGGGTGCTTAGTCTTTACTTATTGACTTAAGAGATCCCTTACTATGGTGCAGAAAATTAGCAGTTTGTCTATGACCTGAGATGCAAGGTTTGTTTTGTTTTTAGTTTGTCTTTTTTGTTTGGGTTTGGTTTTGGTTTTATTCCTTATGATAGTACTGGGGGTTGAACCAAGTACCTCATGCATGCTTAATAAGCAGGGCTCTACCACTGAGTTATATCCCCAGCCCCTCAGTTTGTTTTTTGTTTATGGCTTTTGTTTGAGATTTCAGCCAGGAAGAACATTTTTACATTGAAATTTATTGATTTTTCATTTATTTAATTGATTTTTTAAAATTTCTCCCACCTGCTTTGCATTTACTCTAAATTTTCATCTTTAAATACTTGATTCCTCTCAACTACATTTTTGCCAAAGTGCATATCACAGATCTGACATAACCAACCATCCCAAGACTGCTCTGTACTTGTTCCTATACATTTTTATTCTTACTGATTTGAAATGTCAATATTGAGCTGGGCATAGTGGCACAACCCCGTAATCCCAGCTACTCTGGAGGTTGAAGCAGGATTGCAAATTCAGGATAGCCTGGGCAATTTAATGAAGGCCCTCTCTCGAAGTAAAATTTAAAAATGGCTGGGAGGCCAGGCGCCATGGTGCATCCTGTAATACTAGTGGTTCGGGAGGCTGAGGCATGAGGACTGCGAGTTCAAAGCCAGCTTCAGCAACTTAGCAAAGCCCTAAGCAACTCAATGAGACCTTGTCTCTAAATAAAATACAAAAAAAGGGCTGGGGACATGGCTCAGTGGTTAATAAGTGTTCCAGGGTTCAGTCCCCAGTACACACACCAAAAAAGGCTGGGGTTTAGCTCAATGGTAGGTTCAATCTTCAATACTGGTTTAATGAAAGTTGTACTGATAATGAAAGCAGTTGTTTATAATTTTGCATTTATAGTAAGTTCTATGAAGTAGAAAAGCTATTTTATGATTAATGGCTATTTTTTTAATAATATCAAAGAAGTTTAAAACAAAACCCATTTGTTTGTTTATTTATTTTTTGGTGGTACTGGGGATTGAACCCAGGGCCTCGCACGTGCTAGGCGAGTGCTCTACCACTGAACTACATCCCCAGCCCTTTTTAGCATTTGTTTTGAGATAGACTCTCCCTAAGTTGCCCAGGCTAACCTTGAACTTGGGAGCCTCACATGTAGCTGGGATTACAGATGTGTGCCACAATACCCATGATTCTGGGCCATGAACAGTAGTTGTGACCATACTGTGGGTTTGCAAAGTCAGCAGACACTGCTTGATCTGATGGTGGGGTGAGTTTTCTCTGATAGTGTTTGGGTACTTGGGGTATGTGGTATGTTGACAGTTACATTCAACTGAGAATGAAATGTTTGTACCAGTGACTCCTGGTGATGAAATCTATGTTGATATTAGAACTTTTTATACACTTTAACAATTTAGTATCTAAAGCAAAATTTTGTGAAACTGCTTCATAAGACTAGAGACGTTATTGCATAGTGTGTACCTTCGTATTTAACTCCTAAAGTTGTTCAGAAATAATTCTTTTGGTCCTCAAAGGTCTTGAATACACTGATTAGTTCTAATAGTTTTTTACTCTCCTCTTTCTCCCTCAAATGGTGGCAGCAGCTTTCAAACAACCCATAAAATGATGCCCAGGCCACTTGACTTACATGCAGAGAATAGGACAAGCCATAATTTGACAGTTTAAGAAAATACAGATAGGTGTAACTAGTAGGCATTATAATTTCCTATGAGGTCTAAGATGAATGTCTTCATTAAGCACATTATCACCTCTAAACCGTTTTTAAATCTTCAGTATGAAAACTACATTTCTAGGATAATAATACACTTTGTGTTTATTTGTTTTTCTTTGATTTTCTTTGATTTCTGTAGTATATGAAAAACTTTGGGTAAATGTGTGTTTGTTATGGTCTATGAAGACTTTAATTATTTTTTCTTTCACAGGATGAATATTCCATTTTTCCTCAGACATACTCCATAGATATTAATGGTTATATTCTTGTGTATTCTGTTACATCAATCAAAAGGTAAGGCTTCAGTTTATTTGTTACACATAGATAGCACAAATCCTTTTAAAGGATGATGCTAAATTAGTAGTAGTAACAATTAGACTTGATTATTATACAAAATGTATTTTAGTGGTTCCCCCCCCCCAAAGCGGTCAGGTTATTAAGGGGAAAATTAGTGTCACCCATACAAATTCTGTTATGTTAATAGAATAAAATCTTTTTTTTTTTCTTACTTTAGGTTGCCTAGATAGTGATGGAACATGACTTGAGTTTTTCTGCTAATTAAAATGGGAAATACAGCTGGTCATAGTGGCATACATCTGTAATCCCAATGACTTAGGAGACTGAGGCAGAGGGATCACAAGTTCAAAGCGAGCATAAGCTTGCTTAGCAAGACCCTGTCTCAGAATAAAAAATAATAACAGACTGGGAATGTTGCTCAGTGATTAAGCACTTTTGGGCTCAACCTCCAATACCAGAAAGAAAAAAGAAAAGGTGTGGGAGATTTGTGAATTGGTTTTGTGTTTTCACCATATTGATCTGGAATAGATTTTCCAATGCAATTTGGGCAGCTGAGTTTGGTGAATACTTTATTCTTTGAATTTGCAAAATGAGGTTTTATGTAATAAAACCTCATCTATATAAAAATGAAGCCACTGTTTTTGTTGCTAAGGTGGATTTTGGTTCCTCTAGCCATGTATTTATTATGCTATCTCCCATTACCAAAGCTGGCAAGTATTGTCACTAGTGACTCTGAACAGAATGGAGATGGTTATGTAGAAGCAGACCCCTGGGCATTAGGAATAGCTTGTTTTCTTCGACTTAATGGAAATGTCATTGTCAGTGGGAGGGAGTTTGCTATGCAGTCTGCCTTAATAATATATTATTTGCTACCGTAAACAATCTTTGATCAGAAATGTTTTGTTTTTTACCTTCAGTAGAAGGTGGAATTGACAAGAGGTAGATTGACAGAGAGGTAAAGTAACTTGCTCAGTGGGGCATTGACGGTATGTGACAGTGTTGTGATTCATATCCACGTCTACAATGCCACAGTCAAGTCCAGCACTGTCCAGTAGAACTTCCAACAGTGACTGAAGTCTGTAGTGTGCTGCATGTGGCTATTTAAATGGCTACAATTAAAAATTCATTTCCTCAATTACACTAGTTACATTTCGGGTGCTCAGTAGGCACATGTGGCTGTCAGCTGCCATATTGGACAGTGTCTAGGATCCTTATCGCTGCACACTATCCTGCCAGTGAAAATTATAGTCTCCTTTTCTCTAGGAATGTGTTACTTAACATTTTTCTCCATGGCAGGGAAACATACTTTGAGATGTTAAGATTTAACTATAAACTGTTTGGATATTGTGGCCACTCTTGTGAATAGACCCCACACTGGCAGTCCCTGAGAAAGCCTACAAGTGAGACAAAACCAAGGATTAGAACTATGTGTTAAAGAGAACTGGCGAAATGTGAGAAATAGAAAGTGGGGAGGCCACCCAAACATAGATATTATTAGCATCTTCGAGTGTTTCTTTCTGGTCTTTGTTTTATTCTGTGTAGATTGTTCTCTTGTTTATATTTGCTTTCTGGATGCTGTTTTATACTTTATTTTTCATGGTTTCATATTTTTATTTACCATATATATTTTCCCATGTTTCTTACTATTTGAAAACAGTAAGTGGTTATATAAGATTCCTTATTCAATAGTAGAAGGACTTACTTTTCTACCTGTATGGGGTTTTTTTGTTTATTTGTTTTTGGTTTTTTTTTTTTTTTTGGTCACTAAAAAAAGATTAGATTTTATACATAAAATCACTGCCTTCTTTTTAATTTGGTACCAGTTAATTTACTTTTTGACTTGGAAGAATAACTTAAATAGTGAAACGTTCATTCTTTTTTTTCATACTACTTACAAATATTTTTCTAATTTGTGTTATGTGTTTTTAGAATTTATTTGTTACACACAAAACTTAGTCCAGGCTTCATTTGTTGAATATATTCTACAGGGCTGGGGATGTGGCTCAAGCGGTAGCGAGCTCGCCTGGCATGCATGCGGCCTGGGTTTGATCCTCAGCACCACATACAAACAAAGAGTTGTGTCCGCCGAAAACTAAAAAATCAATATTTTTTTTTAAAAAAATATTTTCTACAATTTTCAATTTATATACCTGACATATAATGCCTTGACCAAAACAATATACCAATAATTTGATGAATGTTGCAAGATCAGATTTGATTGTGAATTTTCCATTATTTCTCTGATTTACTTGGGAAAACACTATTCAGGTTTTTTTCATTGTTTGTAAATATAATTTTTTTAAAAATAACATTTGTTACTTTATAATTATCACTCTGAGGAGTTAAAATAGTGGATAAAAAATGTTCTTAATGTGTTTATTACTTTTTTTTCTTTTAACCTCCTTTTTTGGTGGCCATAGAATAGATGACATTGAAGTTGGAAACTCCGTATTTGTCACTGGGGAAAATTTATTGAACTAGATTTAAAAATATGAAAACTTGCTCACTAAGGACTTTGTGTGTTATGACCTAATGCAAAGCAGAGAAAAAAGTGTCCCATGTCATCGCAGTGGTACCTTTGCAAGTTCTGACCATGTTTTTTCTTGTGAAGTAGGAGTGTTCTGTTTGAGTGATGCTTTTCATCCTGGTTTAATGAGGATTCTCAGTACATCTCAAACATGAGAAAATAAGGGAGGAGTGCTGTTTGTTTATTTTTTTAAAAGAAATCTGTATAAAACTTTATGAAAATGTCAATTTGTTAATCAGAACTATTGTCTTTGTTGAATTCAGCCTCTACCTGAATTATAATCATTGTTCATTATTTTGTGAAATAAAACAGAGCTATCAAGTTATACCTTTTTATCATAAAGTCCCTAAAGAATTGTTTCTTCTGACCAAATATAAAGGAAGAATATATTCCATTTTATAATTTGTACAGGTGGCATACACCTGTAATCCCAGCCACTCCAAAGGCTGAGGCAGAAGGGTTGCAAGTTCAAAACTAGCCTTGGGAACTTAGTGAGACCCTACCTCAAAATTAAAAATATATATATATATATACTGGGGATGTGGCTCAGTGGTTAAGTGCCCCTGGGTTCAATCCCTAGCACACCCCCCCACCCACACACACACCAAAAATTAATTAATTAATCCTAGAAATAGAAAAGAACCCAGATTTGAAAAATGGAATGTTTGGGTTTTCATTTATCCCCTTTGATAATGTTGGATGAGTCACCTTTGTAAATTATGAATTAGGTCTGTTTAAACAAACAACTCCTGTCTGAGGCATTCAGGATACATACTTAACAAACATTGGTTAGCAGGGCATGACAGTGCACACCTGTAGTTCCAGGGACTCAGGAGGTTGAGGCAGGAGGACCAACCCCAGCAACTTGGCAAGACCTTGTCTCAAAAATAAAATGGGCTGGAGATGTGGCTCCGTTTTTAAACACTCCTGGGTTCCATCACTAGTACCCAACCACTAAAAAAAAAAAAAAATTTTTTTGGTTAATGACCCAGGAGTGGTGGCACACACCTGGAATCCTAGCTACTCCTGAAGCTGAGGCTAAAAGTAGCAGGAGAATTGCAAGTTCACGTGAAGGCCAGCTTGAGCAACTTAGTGACCCTGTCTCAAAAAAATAGAAATAACTGGGGTATAGCTCAGTGGTAGAGCACCTCTGGGTTCAGTTTCTAGTTCCACACACACAAAAGTAGTTAATGGGGAAAATAAAATCAATAAAGGAGATCATGAATCTCTATAGTGTTTTCTTTTAAAGCATAAATACATGTTCGGACATTAATTTTCTGGAATCATTGCCTTTGAGTCTGAGCTTACTCGTTTATGTTCTGTGTCTCCCTTTCTTATATCACTTGCACAGAATGTGACAACTTTGATCTCCAGTTTCTTAAGAATGAGATACTTGTGAAACAGTCTAATTCTGGACTATTTACAGATTTGTACAATTTTCTTCCCCTAGTTTTTTTTTTTTTTTTGCAGTAATTTTGGTGCACCTTCTTGCCTTCTTAAGGAGTAGTGTTTTGTCTCTTTC